TCGCGCGGCACACTACTATGTTGCGGCACAGCAGTTGAGAATCCCTGCGTTACAGCAAAACTAAAAGCATAAATTCTATTTAAGATTTCAGGTGGTAATATCTGAATTTCACACGGGAGAAGAAAATCGATGATCTCAAGCATAATCTCATTTTTCTTACCTTTTAGCGACAAATTTCACGATTACAAGTCATGTAATCCGTTTAGCGTCATAACCTTACGCCATGTACTGCAACTGTAAGCACGGCACGATAAGCCTAATTAGGCTTCTTTTCAATTCAAAGTTGTCCTCCTCTTAGAATGGTCACCAGTCAATGCTAAATAGCCCAGTGTGCATTGCGATGTGACTCATAGCCGGGTGTAACGGATTCATGCCTTTTCTAAGAGTATTTCTGCAAGAGGAACATAACAGAATCGCCTGGAATTTAATAGATAAGTCGGCAATATTACAAGTTAAAAGAAACCCATTTATTCTGGGCATATATATATATATATATATATATATATATATATATATATATATATATATATATATTCTAGAGCGATTGGCATATGCGACAAGCGTTTCAAATAGAAACGCGTCAATTTCTTAACGCCTTCATTTAAGAAGAAGAAGAATGAGGAGGAGGAGGAGGAGGAGAAGAAGGCGGAGGAGAACACTGAAAATTGATTTATTAACCTGAGAAGGACAAATAATTTGAAAGCAGTTCTCATGTTCCGAATTTAAATCGTTAATATATTTATGTGCAATAGATTATTTTCAGTATATAAAACAGCTTCAGAGGAAAGTGCGTGCGCACGCGTGTGCGCGCATACACACAAAGACACCCAAACTCATACACGCATATGTATCTGTGTTTCTAGGATGTATAATAGTATCCGAAATAAAAGAGGAAGCTGATGTGTTACATCATCCTCCTCTTTTATTCCCAATAAAGTAGAAATGCTATAAATGTCGCTTTTCACCCAACATCTGTTGGGTTCGGCTTTTTCCGGTTCGAACGAAAGAAAAAAAACTTTGTGTAAGGAAAATGAATTGGGATTTCTGTGGATAAGATGGGCAATAAATTAAATCAACTTATCAGATCCGACGACCAGAAACCAGAAAGTGTTTTCATACGTGGTACTTTCCACGAAATCGTCCAGAAGAGTTGCAGAAGATTCCGAAGTCGTCTGGAGGCTGTGGTTGAAGCCAATGGCGATTTTATTGAATAAAATTACTCTTTAGTATTTCAAGATATTTTGGGGTAATTTTGGTAAATACAGAGTGGTTCGAAAGTCTTGTCACCCACAAGCTAAAAAAGTAATGAGCACAACAGAAGAACAAGTAACAGAGTAATACAATGTATATATACTAGATTCAGTTTATTCACTTTCATTGTCGCTGTCACACGTCGATCTGTATGAACACTAGCATTTTCCACAGTAGACCTTATAGAACCCAGTCTATGCTATTTACTCATAGCTGAGAGGAGAAGAAGAGGATTCACAACTTCCCCAAGGGTATTAGCACGTAAGTTTTAATATTATGCATTTACAAAACAGAGTATGGATTTTACATGTAAGTAGTTCTGTTTGTGTACGTGCTTTGGGAAACAAAATTCTTCTTTATGTGCTGTGTTCCCCCCCCCCCAGGACGTAGGCGATGATGGTTTTCCACAATTCTCTTGTAGCTCTTAATTATCTTTGTCTTTCTGTTACTTCTCCCAAGCCATGTTTTGCCCTACATGTACTTAAACTCATTAAGTATGTAATGCATTGTTTGCCTCTGTCTCCGTGTCTGTCCCGTGAGGATCAGATAAGATAGAGTTTTAGGCTTAGATCGTCCATTTTAACAGTAATACTCTACCTTGAGTGGCTCTCGAGTTTTATTTTGGTTGAAATTTAGTATTAAAAACTACCTGAAAATGCCTACTTCCTCTTAAATGCACACAATGAGGTAGTGTTTTAGGCCTAGATCGAACATTTTAATCTTAATCCTCAACCCTGAGTGGCTTTCGAGTCTTGGGCATTGGGTGAAATTTTATATATTAAAAACTATCTGAAAATATCTCCTTCACTTTAAATGCACACAATAAGCTAGAATCTTAAACATAGATTACTGGTGCTAAGAATTGTAGTTGTTAAGAAATAGCATTCTCCCGACGAATAAAATGGTTTCATTTGGGCTTCAATTTTTATTAGTTATTTAAAAAATGCAAATGAATAAAAATATCGTTAGAGAACCGTTAATAGTTAAAAGCGAAACTTTGAGGAAGTTTTCCAACAGAAGAAGTAGAAAAAAATCTTATTCAAAATTTGTTAAACTTTTTTTTTCCGATTAGATTTCCCACGCTCAGTACAACACCGAAAGTATTCGACTTGAAGAGACGATCCTAAAATCTTTTGTTTGGAAGAAGCCAATTTCCCCTTTGATCTTTAACATTTCACGGACAACGTTCACCGCTCCTTCTAAGCAGGACTTCAGTTTAACAATGTGTCTTAAATTTTACATGAACCAAGGTTAGTCCGTATTCAGGAATTAAAGTAATCCTTACTTTGGTTTTGACCTAAGGATCGGCTATTCACTTGAAATAACCACAGCCTTTTATAAATAAGACACACGCACATGTAATACCATTATTAAATATTGGTGACCGCGAGGTTTGGTCAGTAGACGCTACTTCTTCAAGTCTACGACCACAGCCTTTCTTTATGGGTTAAGCTTTTGCACACGGATTAGAGAGGGAGGTATTTTCACAACATGACTCACTATTCTTTCTTCGATTGATCGCTTGTCGCCGGTCGTCATCGATTAAAATTAACAGATACGATACAAATGACGTGCTAAATATAAATTTAAGAATAGTTTAAATTAATTTAATTAAAGAAGAAGGAAAGAGTCCACACACACACACACACACACACACACACACACACACACACATATATATATATATATATATATATATATATATATATATGTGTGTGTGTGTGATTTATATGAGTAAAAGTTTGCCACTTAGCTGATTGATATTATTTCAGCATCCCGACTCCAGAGTTTCGTAGATGGACATGTCCCTCTGCTCTTCAGCGGTTATCAGCAATTTACTGCTTATATTTTTTTACTTTTTCTATTTCATACACTTATTATTGGTGTAAGTGCTTTTCGTATTTTTTTGGTGTGTGTTCGTGTGTGCATTTGTGCACGTGTGACCATGCACCCATCTGCGCGGATGTGCGTAGGTTTAGGGTGTCGTGATCATTTGTCCTTTCCTTTTATTATTTTTTTTTTCACTTTACACTCGCTCTTTTTCTTCTTTTCTTTCCACAGTACGCGTTATGGCATTCCACTGATTTTAATTTTTGTGAATTTTAGTTTTGTTTTGTTTTTCTAGAGAAGTTGTTTTTTGTTTTTTACATAAATAATTGATATTAATACGTAAATAATATTTTTTTATATATATATAGGATACTAATGATATTAAATACTTATATATATATCATTGTCGGGCTGTCGGTTTCCAGGAAACTGAACTGCTTGACCCTCATACGTTGAATTCGACGGGAGAGTCGAATATATATAAAATACGCAAACACACAATATATATATATATATATATATATATATATATATATATATATATATAATACACACACACACACACACACATATATATATATATATTATAAATTGATTTATTTAAAATATGGTTTTTCCGCTACACAGTTCTAACTATGTTTCAAAAATGGAAGCTGAAAGCTACGAATTTAATTTTGTAATTAAATTAAAGACATTAGTTCCATAAACCATATTTTAAATAAATCAATTTATAATATTAATGCTCTGTAAATTTTCATTGAGCACTATTTTGTAAAAATAAAAATATCTATAAGAACACCGGATTATATATCTTACTGTTCTTTCTTTTTATTTATATATACATACATACATATATATATATATATATATATATATATATATATATATATATATATATATATATATATATATAAAATAAAGACAAAAGGAAAACTTTTCTTAGTCGACCTGTTTCGTCCTCAGACTAAATTTATCAGGTCAAATGTAAGGATTTTATTTTGAAACAAATTTTTATATACAGAAGTAAAATGTAGATAATTTTATAGAGTTATCTATATTATAATTATTATAATTAAATATACATTAGGTTAACTGAAAATCAAGGTAATTATGGAAGATTCTAAGGGATGTAATTTAATGTCTAATAAACGTAAGCGAGTAAATGTTGTTTTGTTGAATTTTTTAATACAATTATTATTATTATTATTGTTGTTGTTATTATTATTATTATTTATGTTATATTTATTATGATTATTATTATCTATATATTATTAATATTATTTTTAATAGAATTATTATTTATTTAGTTCGAGAATTATTTAAAATATATAATATTTAATTTATTTCAAACTAAAATAATATAAACAATAAATGGAGTATTTGAATCTACCCCCCATTTCTAATGCCGTGACAATACTCACAGTATCATTAGTAATATTAGTGACCTGCCGCTGCGAAGTGTTTTCGAATGTAAAAATAAAATTTGATTGCTATAAATACTTTCTAAACTAAGTTTGACCCAAGATCTTAACAATAGAGCGCTTCTGATGCTCCAACTTAGCATATATAAAGAAATAGTTTGCCCGACTAACTGGTTGACATATCGCGCTAAGTCCAGTCTCAACATTTGTCATTATCTATTTTCCAATAAGAACGGCTTGTAAATGGTCTGATCAATAGAAAACTAAAAATAAACCCTGTAAAAACGACAATATTATTCCGATACGAAAACGATTGACACGTAAGATAAGTACTCCGAGGTTTAACCACAAAACTCAACTGCATTCTCGAAAAGGCCAAAAATTGACTCCATTCATTGACAAATATCCAGGAATTTCTCTGAGAAAGTTACGGGGTCCATATTTCAAACAAAGCAGACAATTGATCACATTCCATGATATACAGCCATAAACTTCGAAATGTGCTTCTTTGAGAAAGTCACGTGATTCACATTTTTACAATTTGCCGGAAGAATTTCCAAATAAAGTCCTTTTATAAGATGTATTTGGTGTATATAGTTATATATTGATTTAAATATTAGATTGGATACTATAAGTAGTCAGTCCCCTAGAAGAGCCGTATCTGTAGAAAGTGGCGCCCTAATATTAAGTTCCTATTTAAACATCAGATACCCTGTAAACAATTGCAAACTAGAACTAGTAGTTAACAAATACGAATCAAGACTATTAATATATTTAATAAATTATAGTACTTCAGCAAGAAGGCTTTTATTTTTTTTTATTTTATTTAAAGGAAATTTAAAATTTGACAATATAATTATACCATATGAACATATACTTTTACGAAATTATGGCAACACAATTATCACAAAAAGAACACTCTTTACACTACGTGAGTTCAAACTAAACGAAAACTTGATTGAGAAAAAAAGCTTGTGACTAAATTGAGATTAAAAAAAAAAACCCAAAAAACCCTGAAATCTATTAATAATACCATCATAAGTATATAATCTTTTAAAATATTTACACTATTTACATTGTCCTATTCACAACGTTTCAGCCGTTGTACACTCCGGCCTTCTTCAGGTGATATACGTTAGAATTTCGAACCGAATCCTTTATTTACTCTGCCTGCTAGGATAGATTGTTTTAGTTTAACGTCGTTTTGAATGTCTCAGTTTCAGTCATTTCCATTTAGTTACTCAATTCTCGAGGGGTTTTTTCACATCTGCTGTGGCCAGGTATCAAACTCACACCTCTTTGGTTCAAGTCACTGGATAATTCTTTACAAAAAATACCAACCATACATTTTTATAGCAAAATGACCAACAACACATTTTATAGTAGAATTGCTAACAATATATTTCATAAGAAAATGAGTAACAATTCATTTTATAGAAAAAAGACAATCAATACATTTTATAGGAAAATGAGTAACAATACATTTTATAGGAAAATGACAATCAATACATATTATAGGAAAATGAGTAACAATAGATTTTATAGGAAAATGACAATCAATACATTTTATATTAAGACATAGTAATAAAAAAAAATAAAAGATAAAAAGCACAATTTGCTATGATTAACCTTATTTCTTTTAAGGAGAAACAGGTTTTCATTCCTCGTTTGATTTTGTAAGGAATATTTGGTAAAAAAAATAGAGCTATGTAATTATAATTTAATCAAGAGATAAAAAACATCGTAAAACTCTAACCTTCTCTTACATTCATATGCGACGCTTAATACATCGATACCATTTTGTCGATGACTCGTGAGCCTTGTATTCTCTAAAATTTAGTACAAAAAATATTTGGCGTCTAAAACTATTTCTGGCACAACAAACTGAGCCTTAGGTAAAAAAAATATTTATTTTTTGGTAAATTTGTATTGCAGAACCCAGGATGTATTTTAGTTTGTCAGTGGTCAGGTACTAAAGCAGCCTTTACAGACTGAATAGGGGTATTACTGTTCACATTGAAATATTCAACTTCATCAACGTTTGGTCATCTGGTGCAATATAATATACACTAATTTCCTTTGGGGTTTTTTTCGCGCCATGTGCTGTATTAATTTTAGCTTAAACTATGCTAATGTTAACAAGATCTAATTTTTTTCTCTCTCTCTCTAATTTCTCTTCAGAATTCACAAGAGGAGGAACCACGAAACCATATAGAGGTTACTGAAAAGGAAAAGTCACCGTCTCCCACACCAGCGGTGGAGTCCAAATTCCAGCCGTCCAGTTCAACTATTGTCATTCCTTGTTCAAGTCCATCCTCAGCCCATGCCCCTTCCCACCAACCTACCCATCCACAACCTCCACCTCCCCAACCACCTCCGCCCCCAGTCCACCCGGCACCGCCACCCGCCCATACCGCCCCCATCGTGTCCCCGTCAAGAGCCAGCATCCAGGCCACGATATCTGCCGGTGTTAGTCTGCCGCCCCAGACCATCGAGCATGTGAGATGGGCATCGTCCGAAATGCCGGCCGGTGTCTGGCGGTTTCGGGCCAACAACGGCGAACAAGCAGACAATCCGATCAGCGATGACCAATGTTCTAACTTCATCCTAATCGAGAAGGAGAGGCTGGCTGTTGAGAAGCAGCGGCTACAGGTCGAAAAAGGCCGACTGGACATTGAGGAGAAACGCTTACAAATGGAACGAAGACGGTTCAAGATAGAAAAAAGACGTTTTCAAATCGAAGAAGCCCTCTATCTGTCCGGAGGCACATAGCTACCGACAACAACGCCTTCCAACTGCAACACTCATATATATATATATATATATATATATATATATATATATATGGGGTACAGTAGAAAATCCTTCCCCATATAATTCCCAGAAATACTTCCCACATAATACCAAAATATTACCTACGGAGTGAGGAACAAATACCCCCCCACACACATAATGATAATTCATTAGCTAAATAAAAGTTCACTAGCACTACGCAGGTGACACTTTAACAGTGGGAGGTATTTATGCCGCACTCTGTAGCTAATATCTTACCATTATCTGGGAGTTATTTCTGGGAAGTAAAGCGGAAGGTATTTTTGCTGCACCTATATATATATATATATATATATATATATATATATATATATATGAGTTACAATTATTAAAAGACAAAACGAATTCTATAGATTTCCAGGTTTCAGAAAGTGTATAGCCAACTCTGTGTCAGTGATAGTTACTTCCAAACTACTGAAGCGGAAAAGGGTTAAAATATGAAGAGAGATGTGTGCTTCATTAAATGAAACATTGAAAAAATAGCGACTAGAAGGTGAAAAAGAAGCTGTGAAAAAAAAATCTGTAGTGGAATTCAATGAATGGTTGTGTCTGTGTGGGCAACAGAAAAAAAAAAAAGATATCACAATGCAAAGTGTCCAAAGATAGATGAACTAAAATAGAGAATAAAAGAAAAGAAAAGAAATATAAAACAAAATTAAAATAGGAGAAGGAGGAAAACGATAAGAGAAGATAAAAAACGAGTAGAAGAAAACGAATATAAGAGAATCAAAGGGGGGGGGATGAGAAAGAAATTGAAAGTGAGAGTGAGAGGAGAGAAGATGAAATCAAAAATAAAAGTGAAAGTAGAAGAAAGAAAGAAGAAAGGAATGATTGAAAGAAAGAAAAAAATGAAAAGAACAGAAAAAAGGAACCAATAATGGATGAAATAAAATAGAAAAAATAAAAAAAGGAATGAAACATACGAATGAATGAAAGAAAGAAAGAAAGAAAGAAAGAAAGAAAGAAAGAAAGAAAGAAGAAAAGAAAGAAATGAAAGGGACGGAAGAAAGAAAAAAAAGGAAAGAAAGAAAAGAACAAATTGATGAAATAAAATAAAATAAAATAGAAAGAAAGAGAGGAAGAATCATAACAAAGAAAGATTAAAAGAAAAAAAAAAGGATCGAAAGAAAGAAAGAAAAAAAGACTGAAAGAAAAATGGATCGAAAGAAAGGAATTATAAAAAAGAAAGAAAAAAAGAAAGAAAGACACATGATAAAGAGGTTGTATGATAGAAATAGAACAAATGTGGAATGGAAAGAGAAAAGAATGAAGAGAGAAAGAGAAAGAAGAAAAATATTAAAGAAAGAAAGATAAATGTTTAAAAAAAAGAACAAAACAATGAAAATACAGTGAAAAAGTTTTTAAATGAGCTGAAGCAAAATTCATGGAATAAAGATAGAGAAACAATGAATAAAAGCGAGAGAAAGAGTAGTAGAGAAAGAAAGAGAGAGAAAGAAAGAGAGAGAGAGAGAGAGATTCAAAGAAGGAATGAAAAACAACGAGAGAATAAGAGAGTTCTGAAGTAAGCAATAGGTCCTATTGAAAATAATGAAACATTACTCCGCTGAATGACAGATCGCAAATGAAAGTAAACAATTTATAGAAACATGAAATTGTTTTGAAAAGAGTACATGAGAAGAAATTGAGCTAAAATGATTGAGAGGGAAAACATCGGGCATTGCAAAAAAAAAAAAAAAAAAAGAAAGAAAAAGCCTTCCTTATACAAGATAGAAAAAGTGAAAAAGTAAATGCAATTTTTCCCTAAAGCTGCCCACTTTTCGCCAAACAACCTTTATGAACCCTTTTCTGCCTGTTCAGAGATATAGTTGGAAAAGACGATCCAAATATCTCAGGTCAGTCTTCAACTTTGTAACTGTTATTCAGACCAACTTTATAACAATAAATGGTTCCTTAAGACGCCGTAAAAATAAAATAAAGTATAAAAAAAAACACAAAAGAAAACAACAAACATTTGCAGCGAAGCGAAAAAGAACAAATCGTATACAAAAGATTTTCGCCAACAATAAAACAAGAACAAGAAAAGGGTAACATTTCTTCATTACAAATTGATCTTTACATAAATTTTGCTGAAAAGAAAACTATTGGTAAAATTCGTGATGTCCAGAAATCTTTAAAATAATTGTTGCTTATAGAAATTTCAAGGCTCATTTGAAAGCGTCAATCGAATTTAGAATCATCTAGAAGTACAAGATCATCTGCAAGTACAAGATTTAGAATCATCTGGAAGTACAAGATCATCTGCAAGTACTAGATTTAGAATCATCTGGAAGTACAAGATCATCTGCAAGTACTAGATTTAGAATCATCTGGAAGTACAAGATCATCTGCAAGTACTAGATTTATAATCATCTGGAAGTACAAGATCATCTGCAAGTACAAGATTTAGAATCATCTGGAAGTACAAGATCATCTGCAAGTACAAGATCATCTGCAAGTACTCGATTTAGAATCATCTGGAAGTACAAGATCATCTGCAAGTACTCGATTTAGAATCATCTGGAAGTACAAGATCATCTGCAAGTACAAGATTTAGAATCATCTGGAAGTACAAGATTTAGAATCATCTGGAAGTACAAGATCACCTGGAAGTAGAAGATCATCTGGATGTACAATATTTAGAATCTTCTGGAAATACAATATTTAGAATATTCTGGAAGCACAAAATTGATGGTTACGGCCATTTTGTGCGCAATGTTCTCAATTTTCCTTGGCATAAAATAATGTCTTCTACTTATCTGTAAAATCTGAAATCTTTTGTTAAAACACAACCACGATATTTAAAACAAGACTTGCTTCACTCATAAAATATGTATGTGTGTATGCGTGTGTGTATGCATGCATGTGTTTGTCTGTGTGCATTTTCATATGTTTTTTTTTTTATACACGTAAAAACTGATTCTGTTCAGATCAAACGAAGCAAAAACGTGATAAATTACACAGAGCAAACCGAGTCTCTGGTAGAAAAAAAAATATCGGCTGTTGTGTAAGACTTACTTGTGAGAACGCTTTTGATACCCAACACAGGCAGGCCCCATTGTTGGATCTTGAGACACAAACTCGTGCAAGTATAAAAAGAAATTAGATCAAAAGAGAAAGTAGCCAAAAAAAAAAAAAAAATGACGACTAAAATAATATTTATTTTGATTAGAGAATAAGATTTTCATTGTTTTAAGTGTCTTCAACCAAAGAAGCAAAAAAACAAAACAAACCCCAAAACCATTTTATATATATATATATATATATATATATATATATAAGGCAGAAAGAAATAAAAAAGAAAATAATGACTGACAGAAAAATTAAACGAAGACATTTAAGAATTCTTAAAACTTACAAAATTAATTTGAAATTTAAAGAGAGACACTATGTAGTATGGCTGAAGAAAAAAAAAGAAAAGAAAAAAGATTGCATATAAAATGTGACCATAGCAGTTCACATATTCTAAGCTTAGTTTGTCATAAGGCTACAAGTCTGGGGGGAAACAGTGAGGAGCAAACTCATTATCAAATAGTAACTCTAAACGCTCATTAACCATCACCCACTTCGAGGCGATCTTAATATTGTCGCAATAATTACATATTTTATAGTTGTGACCGAGTTCGTTATTCGAATGAGAAAACCAGGGTTTGAACAGCTGGATTTTTTTTTTGGGGGGGGCTCAGGCCCGGCCCTCCTCACTTGGAAAACTGATGTAAGACAATCATCATTCACGCATTTCTCCCGCACTTAGCCTTGTGTATTACGAAGCTAAATGTCGAAACTGGGGATGAATGTATCATCACAGCAACATCTATATCGACCATGTGGGTACTTAGTATTTGTTTCTGGTGACCATAGTTACCAAAGAAATTATCATTTTTCTTTTATAAAAAAAAAATATTATGCACATGTTCACTTGAAAGAGAAACGTATTTTGTTATCTCCTCTCCTGAAAGAACAAATTAAAAGTACACGTAAAATTAGCCCGGGCAACAGACAGGCAGATCAAAAGGCAAAAAAAAAAAAAAAAGAATCTTGGACAGAATTTCCCATTGTCAGTTTCATTTATACAGGTGTAAAGTGGCATTCACGATAAAAGCCAGAGTTGAGGCTCGTCATTTTGTAATATCAATGAACAAATGATGGCTAATAAGTCTGCAGGAAAAAGCTATATATATATATATATATATATATATATTAGAAATTTTAGCAAAAAAAAAAAAAAATGCGTTCCCCCAGCAGGGATTGAAAACGCATCTTCTTTACTTAAATTCTCGAATGCAGGCCAGTACATATAATCTGCACTGTCTAATAAATAAATAAAAATCATGCGTCTATTTTAAATACGACGTATCCATATATATATATATATATATATATATATATATATATATACACACACACACACACACACACACACACACACACACACACACATATATATATATATATATATATATATATATATATGCATTTGCATAGATAGTAGTTTGTAACCCCGGTTGTCACGCTTTCGAGATCTTAGGATAACAATAAAAATAATATCACAACTAATATTGCCATTAATATAATCACAATCGTTAATAATTCAGCTGCAATTATAGTGGGAAAAATAAATATTAAATAAAAAATACCAACATTATCACCATGTCTACAGACAGAACCCAACATAACCTACGTAGTGGTAGTTCATCCAGCTCAATGAGCCTACGTATGCGTGTATGTGTGCGTACATGTGTGCATGTGTGCCGGTTCAAACAGCCGGCCTGAAATACGTCAAAGCCATCCCAACTAAGAGTGCATTGCTATATATGAATCGCTACAAGCTTGACACCGAAATAGAGAGAATGAAAGTTGCGTAAATACTTGTGCTCGTAAATATGAATGTGTAACTGCGCCTAACCCAAGATTATGCGTATGGGTGTGTGTGTGTAAGAACTAACATGCATACTTCTGTATGCATGTGTGTCCATGTATACGTGACTGTTATCCCAAACAAACACAAAAGAAATCTTTTCCACTCCACCAAACAGAAATAATCAAACACAAATAAAGCATAAATAGATCCACATTTGAAAAAAATAAACCGGTTTCTCTGAAGATCGTGAAAGCGTGTAACCTGGGGTTACAAACTATTAACCATACAACCGCTTATACTAGCTCTATCACGGATATTGAGCACTTTCCACTAAATACAGCACACACACACAACCACACACATATATATTGCTGTGCAAAATTCTTTTAGATGCTTTATGATATTTTTTTGGTAACTGACAAAGTATAACAACGACTTTTCTATAGATAAAATATTATCCTCATTGGAGAGATTTTCATATCTAATTATGCCATTCTGTAGTAGGAGTTCTAAATAAGAGGTGGGTATGCGTAAATATGCGTAAAAATAGCTGGGAAAGAACTTTTCGGTCACCGGAGAATTTTGGTCTTCTCTTGATTGATGCTATTTAGAAAAATAGTAATATATTAATGGCTTCATCGTTAATCTGGAAATGTTTTCGCAATGGCAACGATTTTTCCTTCATATAACGGAAATTTTTATGTGCCAGCTAATAATAGCTAAATAACTCTGAATTTCAAGAAACTACAGTTCAGAAATCCTCTCAAAGTTTTAAAACAATGAATGAATCTCGGATTGATTAAGTCTACCCTCGAAATCTGCAGCATAGGATGGTGTGGGAATTGATTAGGACAGCAAAAGCTCAGCCAATGAGGACTGCAAGACAAGTGATGGTTGAGTGAGACTTGTCTGTAGATAGCACCAAGTGCATTCTTTGAGAACATGAATGCATTTCTGCTAAGAAACAGGATTGAACAAAAAGACATTAGTAGGCAAGAATAAATTTGTCATAGCGGTATGCTCTATAGGATATTGATGCTTAGAACGGGATTCCATTCAGCAAAGGATGGAGTTGCTTTCTACTAAACGTGAATTTGACAGGAGGCCTACAAGAAAGTGAAACGACATACGTTACACGATCAAAACAGGCAAGTTTTGCAGGTAAGAGTCTGATGCTTTGGGAGATGCACAAAAGGTGATGATCCGAAAAATTTCGTTAAAATTGACGGTAGCTTGGTTAGTGCCAAATACATAGAATTATTTAGGGGTCATTTGATACCGGAGTTGAACGAAGGCTAGATTTTCAGCATGAGAGACCTCTAAGCTATAGATCGTGTACAACCAAACTAAAATCAGGCTGATAAATACATCGCCGTATTGAAAGATTATTTCCGATTCCTGAAAGCAAATGTGAACAGAACTAAAGAGATAGGTTCGTCAGAAGAATTCGCGTAATCTTGAAGAGCTGTAGCTCAGTCGTAAAGAATGGTATTTCATGCCTGTGAAAATGATGAAGAATTTGCACGCAACCACCAAGCGCATTGAAACACCAGTTCACGTTACGGGAAGCCATAGGAAATATTAACAATGTACAGTACCTTCTTAAAATGAAAATTATACTGTAAGCATTTTATCTTAACTTTTTCAATCATTTCACCCCAAGCAAGGCAATAAAGCCACTATGATGCAAGGGGTTACTGATTCAGAAAGAATATGAAAAAAAAAAAGCATTATTAAGAAGAGACGGCAATAAATAAAGAGGAATTGAGAAGACAGAAAATAGCGATTGACATTGCATTTAAATTTTTGAAGATCAAAGTTGATTTGAAATAAAGAAACCAGAAGAGAATTCTACATGTGTGAGAAAAGAAGCTGTTAGTATATAACTTACGGTTAAATCTAGCCATTTCAACTATAAAATGATGAGACCTAACTGCCATTCTAGTACCTACTGCGCTCAAATTAATAAATTTTGGATACCAAATAGAAATGCTCATCAGAACAATTACGATGAAAATATTTATAGAAACGACACATGGAAACTGCGTCATAGCGGTGGGACTGATAACAATGAAGATTTTTTATGGATTCTATCAAGAATCTCTAAATACACAGCAGCATTAACAGACAAGATGCAACAGTAATATTCAAAACATGGACAAACGGTCGACTTATAAATGTGTTAGATGATTTAAAATTTTCCAAACACTTTTGCATGGCCATTTTTTGGTGTTATCTCGCATCGTCCTCTCTTGTTCAGAACTTCTACTGCAAAATATGATAATTATTTATGGAAATGACTCTAGTAAGGCCAATGTTTCATTTGTAGAAAACGCAAAATATCTGCGCATTTATTAGAAATTTACAAAGAAATGACGAAGAATTTTGCACACGACTGTGTATATGTATGTGCGCATGCGTGTGTGCATGCGCGTGTAAAAGAGATAGTGGCAGAGATATTTGATTGACAAGACGAAAGTTAAATGGAAAGATAGACTGGAAGACATTTAAATAGGAAATTGTAATGACAATGAAAAATCGTCAATATTATAAAAAAATTCTAGTAGAAATTTGACAAAAGCGCTCTGAAAGTCTATTTATTCTTTCTATCAATGATTCAGAATATATTGCCACAAGGCAAGATGTTTTTAAATTAGTTCTATTGAATTCTGACGTTTGACAATACACATCAATATTTTACAGAGGGACATTAAAAGTTTCCTATCATTCTGGCACTACGGTTTTGCACTAAGATTTATATATTTTTACACAACATTATTATTATTATTATTATTATTATTATTATTATTATCATTATTATTATTATTATTATTACAATGAGAAGTCTTTCTCGAGTGCTCAATAAAAGGTTAGCATTCGTTCGAGAAATTGAAAATGAAGTCGTCTAAAATCAAAGAACAAGATTAATGCTGGTGCACATAATTAGACGCGTAGAAAATTTAATGGTAGTATATAGCTATTCGCTTATAGATGAAAATGGTGACATTTTAAACAGAGCTCTGAATACTTATGAGTAAAGGTGTGGTTATAGTGGATGATTCGAATAACAAGAACAACTACAATAATAATAATAATAATAATAAACGCTTCCTATTTATTGGACACGTGTAGAAAACGATTACAGACAAACTATTAACTATGCCATCTTTTGCAATCACTTCTTTCTTTTCGACACGTTTTAATTTGTTGGCTTTTCAGTTGGCGTGAGATTATGCCTGTGTTTGCTTTTCAGGGCTATATGAACCCACCCTACGCGGGGGTAATTCACGAAAGATTCGAGAGAAACTTTTGAAGATTTACCTGAAATGTTCGCGCTGGTTACTGCGAAGGTATTTTCTTCTAACGGTTCGATTAAGAGGACATATTCTGTGGTGCAGTTATCGGACATTCTGACTGCTTGATCTGGCCATCTGATTTGGTTTTCATCGCAGTCTGCGTGTCTAAAACACTGTACATTTACGTAAAACAAACTAAATCAGCCAATCTTGAGTAAACATTGAGAAACCTGTTAACATATGCTTTGCGTCTGCTTTGTAGAGAACATCAACGCCATTTTCAAGAAAGCATAAAACCTGTCAACTATTATATAAAAAAAAATGTAAAAAGGTATCAAACACTTAACAAAAAAGAAGACAACATCAAAATGCAAAGAACTTAAAAAATATTCTAAACTAAAAAAAAGTTTAAAAAATAAATTCGCATGTGAATTTGTAATTTCAGTCACCGTCCGTCACCCCCCAGCCCTCATTGTCATGTGATTCTTAGAAGAAAAAGCAAAAATAAATTTCCAGATATGTGATAATTGATCTCGTATTTAGATGATGGGATATGTAAGTAGTTATTTTCTGTAAGTATATATGAATATAAATAAATATATAAATTGTATATGTGAGCACGTGTGCGTATGACGGTATAAATATCGGTGTACATGCTTATTCGTGTCTTCCTGTGTATGGATGTATATGACCTGTGCGACGAGAGTTAGTGTTAATAATGGGGGTGTGTGGAAATCTGCGACCACTTCTCCAATTAGAGGGTAGAAAACTCCGTTTCGTAAAGCACGGCGAATGTACTGAGTTGGATCCACACCGAGTGATCGACTTTTAAGGCTTTGTGCTGTACTTTTAAGCTTCTCTCTTCGGAGATCTGGAATCATCTAGGAAGGGATTATTTTGACTGTTCACCTTTTATCATTTATAACTCAAGTTAAGTAGATCTGTTCAGGGGTTTAAACGGTAGTGAATTCTGTTTCAGCGATAATTGAGAGTATTTAAGTTCAAGTAAAATAAAGGATTTCAGCTATTGATTTTAAGACAAGCAAGACTACTCGCGCGTAATAACGACGCTATACTATCTTCCACACTTTAACAGTCACGTTAATATAGGTATATACATGTACATACATACATGCATTTATATAATTGAATACATACAGTACACACAAGCATATATTTAATAATAGTATAATGGCTGGTCTGGCCGTTTTTTGAACAAACTCGTCTGTCAGGGAAGTTAACAAATCCTATTTGCAGACGCCGGCTCATCCCACAAAATCCTCCTATGATTTATACTGCAACTGTATAAAGCGGATCTTAGTCACAGTCCCTGGGAGAGAGGACATAAGCTGGCGTGAGGAATGTTTTTGAACAAGACGAGCAGGCTCAAACGCTCGGTCATGATTTGTGTACTTCGTGCCAGCACAACTTAAACACGTCGTTCAAACGGTTCCGTCTGCCCAATTTCACCCGTAATGCATGGGTCGTGGTGTGGTTTTTTATGCATTTACCGACGCTGGGATCGCCTCCGATATGATCAAGAAGAGTCACCTGCCGGGCAATTGGAACCAGGTTCTCATGGTTAGAAAACGAATGTTCGAATCACTCGAAGATTTGAATAATTTCACATAATTCTATTACTTTTAAACCTATGCTTGATCCAGGTTTAATGCCCTGGAGGGAACGGCTTGGTGATATATATATATATATATATATATGAAAATAATTAAATATATATATATGAAAAAATATACTCTTAATGTGTGCTATATTTATGGGATAAAGTGCTCAATATCAGAGATAGAACGTGTGTAAATCTAAAAGTGAACATTGAAGTCACCACTTAGAGGCGACAGGCTGTTTCATGCTAGACAAAATCACGATTGCGTCTAGCATGAAACAACCTGTCACCTCTAATTGACTTCTGTGTTCACTTTATATATATATATATATATATATATATATATATATATGTATTATACTGTTGTTCACAGTTCCTCTATCTATCTATCTCTCTCTCTCTCTATATATATATATATATATATATAAATATATATATATGTTTGTGCGTGTAAATTATTTTCAGATATAGGGTATCTGTAAATATATATATATTTAGGCAAATGAATGAGAAAATTGAAAAAAATGTGTGTAACGTGATTCGTCCTCTAGAAATACAGCATCGGACTGAAGTCACGTTTCCGTTGATGGAATTATATAAGTGTTGGATGCCGGGGGAAGCATATATATATATATCGCTAGCGTCGATTAGAATTACGTACCGACAGAAAGCGCTGTTGGTGTTGGAATGCAGAAATTTTAAATGCATCCCTTCTAGAAGGCGAAACAGAATCTTTTTCACTTTGTCATTCATTTGTCTAACATATGCCTTCATATAGAAATTTATATATTTTATTCCCCGTTATATTGATATATATATATATATATATATATATATATATATATATATATATATATATATATATATATATATATATTAGTGGTAAATATACACATACATATGCAAAATATATAGATATAGGTGCATACACATACATGTATATTTTTTGAATAAAAAATTCCGAGAGGATAGAATCCGGGTAGAACTTTTTTGAATTTGTAGGTCTGATGAATTGGATCGTATTTACGATTCCAATGGAATAAATTATGACCATAGAATATTAGTGTTTAAGCCTTTTATTTTTATTTTATATATATATATATATATATATATATATATATATATATATTGAGGTGAGAAAGATTGTCCATATATGTTTCTTACAGAATGTACGCATATTAGGCCGATAAAAGAAATTCGAAAAAGAAATAATAATAATAATAATAATAATAATAATAATAATAATAATGCTTACTGACATAGCAGTATCTTTTGAAAAAACACCTCCATAAATATTGTACAAGGATGTGGAGATCGAGATTAACAGGATGTGGTGAATGAAGACTGAGTCAGTACCAATAGTAATCGGAGCCCTAGGCCTCGTGAGAATAGGAATGGGCAATTTTACTAACAGTGTCCCAGGTAACATCAACATATAAATTGCTCAGAAGATCGCCCTACTAGAAACATCCCATATACTAAGAAAAGTGTTATAGAAGCCGAATCCAACACACACACTTTGGCGAAATGCGCCATTTAAAAACTTATCATCTCAACGGATATTTATATCTACTTATACTGATATTCATCTCAATGAATATATTAGTGCGAGTGTGTATGTATGTTTGACGATGTGTATTTTTCCGTGCGTTTGTGTGTATGTCTTCGTGCATGTACTTGTGTGTGTTTTCCCGTGTACATTTTTTAGTGTGTGTGTGTGACTAGATGAGTATACAGGTTTAGCCAATTTTTTTTTGTCTAATATAATAAAAGTTTAGATGTTTTGTTTTTTTTTTATTCAAATAGGAATGCGTCGATTTGTTGAGAATTGGTTGTATTTGAAATAACTTTCTATGCCGGCTCTTGGATCGTCTGCTGCGCCTCATTTGCAACTTAAGGACGGGTGATACAGGAAATCATAAAACATCTTCATTAACCAGAAGAAAAAAAAGATGCAGAATAAAATACATACCAATTGTTTACGCAGATATAGAAATCTGTAGGTCACGTACGCATGGGCGCCCACATTAAAGTCGACCATATATATGTGAACGTCTATTAGATTTATTTTTTGGTAGCCTCAAATGTTCTAAATAATATGGACTCAACATCGCTTAGTGGTTGATAGCTTTGGTCATCAGACCATCATCATCTTACTCGCCACGAATACAGTAAATTATAAACAATACAGTTATATATATATATATATATATATATATATATATATGTATGCATGTATCTATGTATGTATGCATGTATATATATATTCATATTAATAAAAGAAATCACAAAAAGAAAAGCTTTTATGCTAATGCGTTTTTTTCATGCGGAACTTCTTTCAAGACAAATATTCCTCAAGCAACGAAACGCGTTGGTATAAAAGGTTTTCCTTTTTTTTATTAATATTGTTTTTACAGATACATTTCATTTATATCTGATTTTTTTATTTGAAACAGAAACACACACATCCACACGCAGCTATATATATATATATATATATATATTTGTGTGTGTATGTGTGCCTGTGTGTGTGTCTGTGTGTGCATGCGTGTGTGTAAGAATAGATCGGTAAATAGGTAGATTATTATTATTATTATTATTAATCTGTAAAATTGGCGTTAGAACACGTCTTTCAAATCGTGAACGTCACCGCCTCGATCAAGATCGAGAAACTGCCAATTACAATTTTTAATAAAAGTTTCTCCCTTTATTTCACTCCTCTCTCTCTCTCTCTCTCTCTCTATATATATATATATATATATATATATATATATATATATATATATATATATATATATTTATATATATGTGAACAGAGTGAGAGATAAAGAAATGATTATGTATATATACATATATATATATATATATATATATATATATATAAATATATATATATATATATATATATATATATATATATATATAAGAATGATTATATATATATATATATATATATATATATATATATATTTTGTCTTCATTTAAGCATGTTTTGTTGAATAATTTGGTTGATTATCGTGGACATATTATGTCTATTTTTATTTTAGTCCTCTCAAATTATCTTATTGACTTCTTAATGTTGATATTAAAATAATTACAGAAGGTGATGCAGGGAGGTAACTTTAATTTATATAATTGTAATAATTTATAATTAAAATTTAATTATTTTAAAAACATTGCTATTAAAGGCATTTTAAAAGATTATTGCAATACTCATAACTAACCTTACTTAATGTTTACAAAAAGAATGACAATTATCAATTACATATAATTTTTTGTCTTAGCAATTCACCCCAGAAGATGATTTTGGATGAGATTAAAAGTACATCGGAAAATAAAAGTCATGAAAACAAATCCGGTGCCTTCCTTAATGAATTTAATATCAATATTAAAAAGTCAATCACAGAATTCGAGTGGAATAAAATTCGAGAGGAATAATATATTTCATGAAATGGACAGAGTCCGACAATTATTTTCAAGACATTTTTATGT